ATATGTCCTATTTTTCTTGCTGTTTTCTGTGACAAATTAGAGAGAATACTGTGTTATATGGCCTATTATTACCACCATCATAGAAGGAAAGAACAAAAGAAGCCACCCAAAAATGTCGTGAATCATTGTGGTATATTACTGCGAAATCTCTTGTTTTCTTAACAAAATAGGTTAACACCTATATGTGATTGAGTTAAAATGACTCAATATCTCACAAAGTCTTGTTTCTGAAGAACTCTAAACATTGAGCTTTACAAATAGGATTGAGTTTTGCTTCAACTTTTTGAAAGAAAGTACAACAAATAGACCCAAGCATGCAACAATGCCAACAAATACAAGAAAGATATTCAACAGTATACAATCAATTAATCAACAATGATAGAGACCACTAATTTTGGAGCTCTAAAAAGATCACTAATGACATGACACTGAATAAAAAAAGAAAAAAAATACAACACCAAGGCCAAAACATCAAATCATTCATGGTGGGGCTTACTGTCACATCATTAGTGGTAGCACTAATTAGTGCTCTCACTCATTTTCCTTAATTAATTAGGAAGACCCAATAGTGATTTATCTCAGCAAAGAGTACCAATGATTCCTCAACCGGATTGCCAAAAGCTCTTAATCAAATCTGGTTCAAGTCCATATCAAAAAAATAAAATAAACTGGTTCAAGTCCTCCTTTTTCCTTCTCTTTCAAAAATACTAAGCACTTACCTATTCTTCTAAGGTATTATGAGAAGGGAAATGCTAACCACTACCTAATAGACGGTGATTAATGTTGGTGTATGTGTAAATGTGTGTTAAAATATGTGAAAAATGTACAAAAAATATATGTAAAAGTATGTGACGTGAAATCAAATTCTAATTTTTTGACATTATTTGGATCTGACCTGCAATCAATGAATGATAGTTAACAAGACCCTGGCACAAATGATCAGAAATTGTGTCTAGGATAATTTTGGCCATCTTCAACGGAAGCAAACTTATGAAACATTTCATATGCACGGCAAAACCTACCCAAGTTCCCTAAAACTATATCATATGAAATAGTAATGCTACATTTAGATGAATGCAACACTGTCATCACTGCGTTTTGTGAATTTTCTAAATAAATTTCTACAATAACGATGACAAAATAAACCAATATAGAATCAAGAGAACAAATGATCCCATTATGGAATTACAAGGGAGGCAAAACTGCACACTTCACTATCATTTAGAGGAAGCAAAAAATGTTTATCCCACCATTAGAATTTAGAACTATGGCGTGCACCAATTGTCCTAAATTCCAAAACTACACTTGAAGAATGAGAAACGGAGAAAACACCATTTCTTATTTTTCTTCATCTTCTTCTGCAAAACTCGAGGCCAGACAAACTTCTTGCTCTGCTTCCTTATCATTGCAAAAGAATGATTTCCTTGCAATGAACTCTGCAACTCTCTTAGCTGGTCCTGAATCCCTTGGACTATTATCATTGGTGCACCAAGTTAGAAATTTCTTGTGGGGAGTTATCATCTACCAAGTTTTTGTGAGAGAGATACCACTATGGTAGTCTATACAATTTATGAGTGAGAATAAAAAATGTAAAATTTTTTGTTGTGCTACTTGTATATATAATATATATTCAATATCATTTAATGATCTAAATTACTTTAATTCATGTAATGGCTAATAATTTATATGTATATTTAATATTTTTATATATATAATTCGGGTTTTGGGTTGCTCAGGTTATTTGATGTCTTTGCCCAAAGCAGCCCAAATTTAATTCAAACTTTTGAATTTTTGCCCAGGCCCTTATCAAATTCAAAAAGATCTTGCTCAAGCCCTAAAAGAATTCAAGTTGGGCTGGGGTTGCTCGGGTTGAGCCCGTGCCAAATTACACCCCTATTGCCACTCGAATGCCCCATATGCATGTCGGACGTCAAATAGGGTCAGGCCAAACGTGTAAAATAGAAATTTGGGGGTATGTCAACATTACCAATGCCTCTACTTGTTAGGCTTCATCCATACAAGCAAGATTACCAACGATCAGGGGTGGAATCAAGAATTTTGTTTGGGAGAGACCAATGTATATGCATAAAAAATAACAAGCTAGTTTTGGTACATTAATATTTGAATATGATTTTTTATTTAAGTATTGGAAAAAAAAGTATTTCACGAGAAAACTAAATAAATTTAACAAGTAATTTTTTCAATTTTCAAAAGTTTTGAACCATTGATTAGATCTTAGTATAAAATTAATTAAAACATTGTTTCAAGCGATTATGACCCTGTTTCGGATATGGTTTTTTCGGCTAACACTAATGTAATAGTGAATAAGACAGACTAATTGATGTTAATTTGCATGTATAGCATCTATCACAATTGGATGATGCCATGGCTAGCGAATGCCCATAGCATAGAATCCCATGCCTTTTAAAATATATTAAATTCAATATCAATAAACTTTTGTGCGTGTGTGTGTAAATAAACGTCCCAAATTCATTTACAACAATGATTCATCCCACTAAAAACATTACCACTAATAGCACTAATGCATTAAAAAAGTAAAAAAAAAAAAAATACAACTCCAAGACTAAAACATCACATCATTAATAGCGGGACCCACTGCCACCTAATTAGTGGGAACACTAATTAGTGCTCGCATAGGAGGAGAAGGGTTTTTTTTTTTTTTTTTTTTTGATCGGCAAAGAAAAAATTTTATTGATGAAAAACACATACAAAGTACGATAAATTACATCAATAAAGAAGAGTTTAGAGGTAGTTTAAGCTCCAACCTCCTGGTTGGTGAGAGACCAACAAAGAAAACCAGCAAGCAGTCCACTGTAACAAACTACACAACTCTGGAGCAGCAAGAAGCCAGAACAAGACATCAGCAAGTAGACAAATAACCAGAAGTATGGTTGAGGAACCAATGGGATTAAAACTCAGCAAAACCCGCTACAACAAAAACATACTTTAGTGGCACTACACTAGTAGCATATTTTTAGAAAATGCCACAAAAAATGATATTTAGTGGCACGTTTTTGAAAAATGCCACAAAACGACAAACATAAAAGGCTCTAGTGACATTTCAATGATTGGGTAACACTGAAGCATGTGTCACCAATTTCTACCCCATACACAGTGTCACAATTTGGAGCTGCTTGCTGTCCAAACCCAACTGTTCCATCATATATAACAAACCAGCATATTAGTAGAAGAAACATAGGTAATAAACATAACTCTAATTAAAAATAAAAAATAAATTGAAAAAATATAAAATGCACTAAATATTGCAATGCAATGTCAAAACTTACATCCAAAAATTCTGCTTTCAGCCACTGAGATCATCAGAAAAATAGAGATGCCAGAAGAAAGCTCTAGTGACATTTCAATGAACAAGTGTCACAACACTACAATAATGTATTTGTTTTCGCCTAAACTTGGTGACTTTCTTTCTTATGGTTCTAGCTTTGTTAAAATGATCATATTTATTGAGAGAAGGTTGTAAAGGGCTGACTAATAAGACAGAAAGTGAAGTTAATTAACCAAGTATGATCATTCGGTGCAATACCAAAAATAAATAAATAAAGTGATGGCCGGCTTCATTGTAAATCATGAGCAATATACAATGAGGGAGTTCAATTTAATAATAGATTTGTTACCCAATGCTAGATTATGTTATGCTTTGTTATCAAACTATACCTAGCTTTTGTTAACAAAGATAGAAAATATGTAGTTCAATATTTAATGTTATTCTAATAGTATTCTCATGAGAGAATGCTAACAGAGTATTGCATGAATTATCCGGGGGAGGTGTTAGACTGAATAGTAATGAAAATCAAATTAATATATGACTTTTTTTTTTAACTGGTAAACCTATTTATTGTGCAATACATATATATATATATATATATATTTTTGAGGGGGGACTTTATCTCATCATTCATTGCGAGCTCTCACTTTTCTCTCATCCTAACTTGTAAAGTTTCCTTATGACACTCTGGTTTGCCATTAGTGTTTTGAAATTAATGAAAAATTGTTGTGTTCTCTCTTGTCTTTTTGTCTTTTTTGTGTATGCGTTTACACACACTCCTAGGGTACTCAGTAATAAGATCTTAAAATATGATACTCCTAGTCACAACAGTGCTTAAATTTCACTATTTATGGGAATTATTTTGACAATGTCATGATTAACATATATGTTTTGTCATGTCACCATAAATCTCCGTTATGTTGCCAAATGTTATTTTCTGGGTGCTTGCACTAGTTTTTTTCACCCCTTCAATTTCAGTAGCAGAAGCAGTGGCCTTTTTCCTGTTTCAAACACTAACTGGCTTCCACTTTTAATCAGCATCAGCTTATCTGTGTTTCCAAAGTTAAAAAATATGGCCTATTTTTCTTGCTTTTTTCTGCAACAAATTATAGAGAATACTGTGTTGTATGACCTGTTGTTACCACCATCATAGAAATTGCGTTGTTGGGGTGTATTGAATCTCTTGTTTTCCTAACAAAATAGGTTAACACCTATATGTGATTAAGTCAATGAGTCAATATGACAATATCTCACAAAGTCTTGCGTCTGAAGAACTCTAAACATTGAGCAATATGATTGAGTTTTACTTTTAACTTTTTGAAAGAAAGTCCAACAAATAGACCCAAGCATACAACAATGTCTGCAAATACAAAAAAAAGACATTCAACAATATACAATTAGTTAGGAAGACCCAATTGTGCTTCATCTCAGCAAAGAGTCCCAATGATTCCTCGACATTCCGGGATCGCCAAAAGCTCTCAATCAAATCTGGTTCAAGTCCTCCTCCATACATCTCTTTCAAAATTGCTAAGCACGTATCTAATCTTCTAAGGTAAGGGAAATGCTAACCACTACCTAATGGACGGTGATTAATGTTGGTAAATGTGCAAAAGTGTGTTAAAATATGTGAAAAATGTACAAAAGTATATATAAAAATATGTGATGTGCATTCAAATTCTAATTTTTTTTTACATTATGTGGATCTCTTTGGGCTTGCAAGGACAACATCTGAAACAGATTTCATGACTGAGTATGTTGTTACTCGCTGGTACCGGGCACCAGAATTGCTTCTTAATTGTTCAGAGTACACTGCAGCAATCGATATTTGGTCAGTAGGTTGCATACTTGGTGAAATTATGACCAGACAACCCCTGTTTCCTGGCAAAGATTATGTTCATCAGCTTAGGCTTATCACCGAGGTATGACATTTGGATTATGCAAGTGAATCATCCCGGATCATCTTTGCCGCATGTTTTCTAATTTGTATATTAGAGATGAGATGATGCATCATAATCATTATTGCATGAAATTACAATACCGTTGCACTCACCACCGTTAATGTAACCTTTTAGTTATTGGTTGAGGTGCCATTTTAGCTTGAGTCCTGTTTTTCATCCTGGGTATATTTTAGCTATTGATATTGCTTTCTTGATCCTATGCATACTACTTACCAGTTTGCTGATAGCAAGAGTCAAAGAAGTTCTGTGTTTCTCACTTAAAGCAATTCGTATTTGTGTTGTGTATACTGTCTACTTAGCATTGGATATTCTGAATCTGCTGAATAGTTTGTGCAAGAATTTGATATATTATTGATTGATATTTTGATATTTTACAATGATTCCTATATATAGAAGAGAGGATGTGGGAAGAGAATAGGTGAGTGTGTAGTAGGTATGGAGTAGGTGAGGAGTAGGTGGAGAGTAGGTGAAGTAGGTGAGTGTGTAGTAGGTGGTAGTGGTAGGTGTGTAGTAGGTGAATTTTAACAGCCCCCCGCAAACTCAAGGGGATAGGAACTAACCAACTTGAGTTTGGAGAGAGTAACAAAACAAGAAAATACATAAAAATAAAAGAGGATAGGAGACACTGTATGGTCGTGTCAGACCATTGGTGAAGACACTGGATGGTGGTGTCATAACGTTGTAGAGGACACTGTATGGTGGTGTCATAACATTGTAGAGGACACTGTATGGTGGTGCCAGACCGATGTAGAAGACAGTTTATGGGGTCATGTCGGACCGTTGTAGCAGACAATGTTGTGACAGATGTCGGGACAGTTTACAGAGTCTTGTTGGACCCATGAAGGAGCTAACCGGAATCAATGTCGGGACAGTTTACAGAGTCTTGTTGGACCCCTGAAAGAGCTAACCGGAATCAATGTCGGGACAGTTTACGGAGTCTTGTCGGACCCCTAAAAAATCGCACCCTCAAAAGGTGTGCCCAATCTGTCAAAAAAGGCGTGCCATCAAAAGGCGTGCCCAATCCATAAAAAGGCGTGCCATCAAAATGCGTGCCATCAAAAGACGGGCCATCAAAAGGCGTGTCCATGTTGTCGTCGAGCGCCGAGCGGCGCATGATGCGCGTCAGTTTGTCAGGCGGCAAGAGGCGCGCAATACGCGTGGCTGCCTCGGCTATTTAACCAAGACGAAGGCTGAGAGAGAGATAGAGTGGGGTACATGATGGGTATGTGATAAAATAAAATATAAAATCAGTGGGTGGAGCATATGCATTAGCATAATTAAATCCATGCACCTGAAGGTTGAAAGACGGAATCAAACCACCAAAAGCAGCAGACAAGGTGAAATTCCCAACCCTTGCAGCCCCCCTAGGCATAAAAACTCCCAAAATTCCATCCTGTTCTTGACGGAAATAGTTTGCAGCCCCCCTAGGCATAAAACCTCCCAAAATTCCATCCTGTTCTTGACGGAAATAGTTTGCATCTTGATATAATGTTCTATTTATTACAATGATTCATGATTCCTATCTATAGAAGAGGGTGAGTGTGTAGTAGGTAAGGAGTAGGTGAAGTGGAGGTGGTAGTGGTGTAGTAAAAATGTGAGTGAATATGCAGCCACCTATAAAGACAGGGCCAACAATACAGGTGGCCACAGAGAGTCACTATTGGGTCTTCAGTGAATTCAAAGCATATATTACATTCAAAATCACCCATTTCATTGCTAGTATTGCCTGAACACGAAGGGCCAGTTGATTGGCCAAAAACACTATTCATACCCAAACCTTAAAACCTGAAGCACCTGGGCTGTAAAATTGGGAAGATCTGTGGTGGTGATGAAGACGACCGAGACGGTGGTGTATGGGAGGACAACAGTGAGAGGAGGTGCAGTGGTGGTGGACTCGAATAAATTTCAAGGTATGTGTAGAAAATTCTAGCGGATTAGGTTGAGGTCCGGCGGGCGGCCAAGGCGAGGTTGCCGCCCGGGTTTAGTGGAGTAGGTTTAAGTGGGTGAAGTAGGTGGAGAGTAGGTGGTGGGTTAGGTTTAGTGGAGTAGGTTTAAGTGGGTGAAGTAGGTGGAGAGTAGGTGGTGGGTTAGGTTTAGTGGAGTAGGTTTAAGTGGGTGAAGTAGGTGGAGAGTAGGTGGTGGGTTAAAGGAGTAGGTGAAGTGGAGGTGGTAGTGGTGTAGTGGGTTAGGTTTAGTGGAGTAGGTGATGTGGTAGTGGTGTAGTGGGTTAGGTTTAAGTGGAGGTGGTAGTGGTGTAGTGGGTTAGGTTTAGTGGAGTAGGTGAGGTGGTAGTGGTGCAGTGGGTTAGGTTTAGTGGAGTAGGTTTAAGTGGGTGAAGTAGGTGGAGAGTAGGTGGATTTTAACAGACTAATTAATATTTTAAATGTGATATTTATTAGTTGGTGAGTTATTTGGTCACGTGCGAAAGCGGCAGCTGTGGGCTGATCCAAAAATTGTCAAGGTAATAAACTGCATTTATATATATATGTGTGTGTGTGTGTGTGTGCGTGCGTGTGCATGTGCGTGTATATATTTTTTAAACACACAGAATGTATATGAAGTTCTATTGAGTTATTTTAAGGATATTTTTATTTGCTCTTATTTGGAATAGCAACTCGTCGATGCAAACTTATATGCGTTACTTGGTGAAAGGACAGCTGCAGATGATGAAAAGCCTATTAAAAAGAAGAAAGAAAAGCCTGTTAAAGTTGAGGTGGGAAAAGCTTCAAGTTTCTCATCTGTTGCCCTGATAATTACTTTACTTGTAAGATAATTCAAATTTTTACTCGCATATTTATTCTATTCTCATATTTAGGAACGTACTATTGCGGTGGATACCCCACCAAAACCATCTGAAGAAGAACTCAATAACAGGAATCAATGTCGGGACAGTTTACAGAGTCTTGTCGGACCCTTGAAAAAGCTAACCGGTATCAAATGTCGGGACAGTTTATTGAGTCTTGTCGGACCCTTGAAGAGTCGCACCCTCAAAAGGTGTGCCCAATTTTGTCAAAAGGCGTGCCATCAAAAGGCGTGCCCAATTCATCAAAAGATGTGCCATGAAAAGGCGTGCCAGTTTGTCGGGCGTCAAGAGGCGCGCGATGCGCGTGGCTGCCTTGGCTATATAACGAAGACGAAGGCAGAGGCTGAGGCAGAGAAAAACTGAGAGAAACCTCTGAAAAATCCTTCGTGTTGCTGAGAAAGAGAGTTCCTTGTGCTGAGAGAGATAGTCCGTAACACTCTGTAAACCCTACGCTGAAACACTGAGCAACCCAAAACATGGCCTCTTCTTCCTCTTCTTCCCGCGGTCTGCTTACGCTCTTTCCCGAACTGAATGAGTCAACAAGAGAGAGAACTGGTGCGGAGACCAGTGAACCTCAACCAAACACCTCTGTGTTTGCTCCGTTATCTGGAGCAGGAGGAGGAGCTATTTCGGGCCTCTGGCCTGTAGGGCGATGAGGAATGTCCTCGCCAGGAATTGATCTGAATCTCGGGTCTGAACTGGTTTTGCCCCTTCCATATATTGGAACCAACTTCTCTTCCTTTATAAGGGCCTTACAAACCGAGCACTCGTGAGAATGTGAGTGAATATGCAGCCACCTATAAAGACAGGGCCAACAGTACAGGTGGCCACAAAGAGTCACTATTGGGTCTTCAGCGAATTCAAAGCATATATTACATTCAAAATCACCCATTTCATTGCTAGTATTGCCTGAACACGAAGGGCCAGTTGATTGGCCAAAACCACTATTCATACCCAAACCCTAAAACCTGAAGCACCTGGGCTGTAAAATGGGGAAGATCTGTGGTGGTGATGAAGACGACCGAGACGGTGGTGTAT